AAAAAAAAAAAAAAAAAAAAGGAATACAAATGGCTTTATAAAAAACTTAGTACAGTGCTTCATTTTACAGACAGTGAGGAAAATCTGTGTTTAGTGCTTAGAGTCTTTAAATTCCTAATGAATTATCAGATTAATGTTAAGACTGATGTGAATGCCTAACCAATTTCCGCTGGCTCTAAAATGCCTGAATTTAACAGTAAGCCCTTCAAAATAGTTATTTCATGTAGATGAAATTTCTCAACACAGACCACCAAGAACTTTTGAAAAATTTAAAGGCTGTCTTCTTTCATAGCTTATTCACTTATTTCTTTTTATGAGGCATGATTATGAGACATGCTCAAGGATAGCTGAGCGGAGGATGCAGAGGTTTTTGCTCTCATTAACACTGGGTTCAAGACCCAGGCCGCTGGGCGCGTTCTTTAAACTCCCCTTTGCTTCAGTTACTTTTCAGAGTCTAGGTGCCGTCACCTTTTGGCAATCCGACGCAGAGAGAAGCAAGTGGGGAGACAGGGCTCCGCATTCTGCCACGCTGGCCCCTCACCTCTGCCATCACAGGGCGTTCTGGGTTCCTCTGAGAGGAGTTTTTCCCCTACAAGGAGGCAGTAGTGCGGTTCCTCATCGGACGGTTAGCCCTACTTGTGGGCGAGTAGAACTAAAGAATCTGTGTGAAAGACTGCTGATCAGCGCGGCTTTGGTGCGTAGCATTCAAAATCCTTGACAGGAGAGGGGTGAAAGAAGCTGACATCCGTGACAAGAGGTAGGGAGGGAAGCTCACGTCAGGTCGGTGCAGAGGCATAGAGTTGGAAACTGCAAGCAGCAACCAGGACGGCCGTGGGAAGAACTCGGCAATTCTTAAAGGGAACGTATTTCTGCTCTCTGCGGTCCGGCGGCCATTTTTTCCGACTGCCTGTGGGTAAACGAGCAGCCCCTGTTGGTTCCGAGGGTAATAACACCTTTTCGCAGAGGCGTTCTGAATATGCACCGGTAGGGGGCAGTGATGAGACGGTTACATGTCCCCGAGTATCCCGTCAACTGGTGGGTTTTGACGCTAAAGGAAACGTTAAATAGTGGATAAATAGAATACTGGAGAGAGAAAGCCAACCATAAACCCCAGTAACATCTACTTTTTAATTTTTTTTCCTTTAGAGAAAAAGAGGTCTCCTATTTTAATGCACACATTAGTAAGTTTCTGAATACGTATGAACCTGAAAGGAGGCAAATTTCTTAACTTTCAAACACGTAGTCCAATTACATTAATTAGGGAGGGGGGCAAAAGAGACAGGGTCTCGCTATGTTGCCCAGGCTGGAGTGCAGTGGCTATTCACAGGCGCGATCCCACTACTGATCAGCACGGGAGTTTTGACCTGCTCCGTTTCYGACCTGGGCCGGTTCACCCCTCCTTAGGCAACCTGGTGGTCCCCCGCTCCCGGGAGGTCACCATATTGATGCYGAACTTAGTGCGGACACCCGATCGGCATAGCGCACTGCAGCCCAGAACTCCTGGGCTCAAGCGATCCTCCCACCTCAGCCTCCCGAGTAGCTGGGACTACAGGCACGCGCCACCGCGCCCGGCGAGAGAAGACGCTGCGAAAAGCTACTAAAAGCTGCAGTGCGGTGACGTCACCGGGGGAGGGGTGGGTGTCAGGCCGGGCGACGTGAGCTTGGACACACCCACACTGGGCGGTCTGGAGGCTACGCTAGTGTGGCATCATCTGAGCTGGGCAGCCATTTCTGCTTACAGGGTTGGGACACCGGAATCTTACCCGCACGGTGGCGGCTGCGGCTCTCGGTGTTTTGATCCGAACGCCGCGTTCCCGCTTAACAGAAATTCGTCAGTATGCGCTTCATGCTCATAGTGTGGCGTCCAGACGTGCAGCGAGGGAAAAAAGAAACGCAATAACCTGATCCCTCAGAGTTGATTGCTTCAGCAGGGCTTAAATATGTGCTGCGTCTTTTGGGGAACGTTACTTAAGAGGCAACCGTCTGGCTCGAAATCTTCCATTATTCTCAGCAAGCGTTTAGGAGGTGACTGCACTGTAAGGAGAATAACCCACAGTAGCAGAGGCTGGAAGTCTGCACAGTGCCGAGGTCAGTTCAGTCTTCCCTACTCGAACGAAGGAAGCCTGGAACAACTGTTTGCTTTCTCCGCCCTGCATGTTAGTTGCCCGTTGTTTTTGGAGAAAAAGCAAGTATCGAGGTATATTGGTGGAAAAATTTGGATTTGGTACCCTGAAGTCTTTTTTGGGACAAGCTTAGGTTAAAAAGGGATAGAGGAGAGGAAAGAAAAAATAATTTTCGACCATAGAACTGCAAAAGCAGACCTATTTGTCCTCAATCTATAATCTTTCCCTCACTGTCCTTGTTTCCTAAAAACCAGTCCAGACTTTCCCCTCCACCTCCATCCTTGCAGCAGATAACTTTGTTCCCTCCTTCATGGATAAAGCGACGGCCATCAGACAAAAACTTTTCAACTCCTTGCTAGTCTCTCCTCCTCTAAATTTATCTTTACACCTTCAGAGAAAAGCACCCTTCCGTTTTCCCCTCCTACCTCAAACCCAATAGGTCAAAATTCCTCATTTTCACCCATCCTATCTCTTTTTCACTTACCTAGATTCCGATTTTTCTTCTAAAAAAAAAAAAAAAAACCTCCTTTGACCTTGCCTACCTTTCTAAATGAAATCTCTCTGTTATTTTCATGGCTGCACTTCTTCAAAGCATGTTCTACAGTTGCTACATTCGCTTCTTAACCTTCTGTCTTCTGTCCACAGCCTATGAATCCACTGAAACTATTCTAGCTAAGGCTGCTATACCCAAGCCTCCTACTTGGGAGGTCTAAGGAACCCTTTCTGACAGGTGACGTTGTACCCGAACGAGTCAAGGAACGAGCCACACTCTGAGATTGAATTATGTGTCCTTTATTATGCCGGCGACCAAGAGGTGGCTAATGCCCAAAATTCTCTCCGTCCCTAAGAAAAAGTTAGGTGGTCTTTTATACCCTAGTTTTAAAAGGGAAGGGGAACCTAGCTGAAGTAAATTTTTCACAAAAGCAGAGTAAGCAAAAAGTTAAAAGATAAACTAGTACATGAGAAATAAAACAGTGCCAGGTGTGAGGGGTAAAGCTGTCATGAAAGACATACAAGTTACAGATAATGGGGGCTCTGGGCGCTCGACAGCACCTGCATTCCCAGGCTCTGCTGGTACCACTTAACTCGGCCTCTTACCAACAAATGCATTCCTGGAGGTGCCCAGTGTCAGCCTGCCCCAGCTACATACTATAGTTATACTTAATGGAGGGAAAATAACTGAAATGAAGAAGCTAAGATGGAGTCTGTCTGGCTCAAGAAGCTAACATAAAATCTGAACACCTTTTAGTATTTTATATCCTCTCTGGTTCTTGTTCACAGCTCCTGATATTTCCTCCCAGGCTCGCTCCATTGCCCACGAAGCAAATGTTTTTGTTCCTTGCAGTTCCCTCCTAAATGTTCTCTGTTCTCTCACCATGTTCTTCATGAGTGATCTAATCAATTCTCAAGGCTCTCAAATCTATAGTTCCAATCTCATGTTGTTTCCAGACCTTCAGATTCACATATTTAGTTGCCTTCTGGATGTCACCTTGAACTCATTCGGGACTTCGAATTCAACATTTGCAAAACTGATTGTCTTCTCCTCTTCCTCCAAACTTGCCCAATCTTCCTGTATTCTCACTTGCTGTCAATATGTTTAGCTGCTCATTTCAGAACTCTCAGAGTCATCCTTGACTACTATTCCATTCATTCAATACCAAATATTTACTTTTTACTTATCCAATGACAGGCACTGCGCTAGGTGATAGAGGTGTGGTGGTGAAGAAGAGAGACACAGTAAAAGAGACAGACAAAAACTTAGCAAAAGAATTATAATTTCAAACTGTGATAAGTGCTGGTGATATAAAAAATGGTAGCAGGAAACAGGGCACCTACTTTCCAGAATGTATCAGGTAAGCCTCTTTTAGGAGTATCATTTAAATTAGGGCCTGAAGAATGAGGCATCAATTAAGGTGCTTCGATTGCAAACAAGGACTGTCTGTAAACTGAAGTAAACGAACCTCTCTTTAGGAAATTCAGAAGAAAGAAAGTTATCTCAAGAAAGTTGGTCAGAAGAAAATGGGCAGATCATGAAATGTTAGTTGTCTCCCAAAGTCCGTTCTTCCCTTTTACAACGCTAATACTTTGTTACTTGGGCACATGAAGTCCCAGCTAGAGACCACATTACCCGTCTGCCTTACAACCAAGTGTGGTCAAGTTCTCACCAATGGAACATGAATGAAAGCTGTATGTGCACTCTGCATCACTTGCTTAAAAAAATCGGTTGCCCTCTACTTCTGCTCTTTTGCCCTTCTCCAGCACTAGGTGGCGCCAGTGCAGATCTATTGCAGTGACCCACCTGTAAACCAGGCAAATTAGAAAAAATATCAAGCATCAACAGGACAGAAACCAGGGATTACAGAAGGGGCAGGATTCAAAACAAAATAAAAATGAAACCAAAATGAAACGAAAACAGACAAAAAGCAGAGTCCATGGATGAATTAATGAAGCTGATTCACCCTACAGCCTCCACCACTCCTACTTCTGGATTGTTAGATGAGAAATAAGCTTCTGTCTCAATTAAATCACTATATTTTGAGGCCTCTTTATTATTGCAGCATACTCTGTACTCTAACCTAGTAGAGGGAAGTTCACAGAAGAAAATCTTGGATAACCAGAATTCAAAAAGAGCAGGAATCAAAAGAGCTCCAGGTATCTAAAGGGCACTGCCATGGGATGAATCATCCTCAGTTTCCTCTAAGAAGAGTCTGATTTTCTAGTTTGAGTTCTGTATTCTTCTATAATCTGTATTTATATGCATACCTATTTTATTTTTATGATTTTAAAAATTATATTTTTTTGAGATGGAGTTTCGCTGTTCTTGCTCAAGCTGGAGTGCAATGGCACAATCTGGTCTCACTGCAACCTCTGCCTCCCAGGTTCAAGCCCTTCTCCTGCCTCAGCCTCCCAAGTAGCTGGGATTTCAGGTGTGTGCCACCACGCCCAGCTAATTTTTTATATTTTAGTAGAAACAGCGTTTTATCATGTTAGCCAGGCTAGTCTCAAACTCCTGACCTCAGGTGATCTGTCTGCCTTGGCCTCCCAAAGTGCTGGGTTTACAGGTGTGAGCCACCATGCCTGGCCATGCATACATAATAAAACTTCTGTGTTCTGCTTTACTTTCCCACATGTCACTACTCTTTTGGTGGCAGTATAATTTTTTTTTTTTTTAATATTTTGAGACAATGTCTTGCTCAGTTGCCAGGCTGAAGTGCAGTAATGTGATCGTTATTCATTGCAACCCCCACCTCCCCGGTTCAAACGATTTTCCTGCCTCAGCCTCCTGAGTAGCTGGGACTACAGGTACGTACCACCACTTCGGGCTAATTTTTGTATTTCTAGTAGAGATGGGGTTTCACCATATTGGCCAGTCTGGTCTGGAACACTTGACCTCAGGTGATCTGCCTGCCTCAGCCTTCCAAAGTGCTGGGATTACAGGCGTGAGCCACCTGTATATAAATACAGATTGTAAAAGAATACAGAACTCCCAGCCAGGTGGCCCTATAATCTTTTGACTTGATGATCTTCTATTTGTTTAAATTGAGCCACTGTCACACTAATCACCACTTTACCATTCTATATATTTCATTTGTATTGTTTTGTGAATTAATGATAGGCATAATATCCAGTGCTAAGTCAATTATGCACAACCTCGAATCAGCCATTTGCTTTTTAACAGTGCAAAAAACAAGACCATGTCCGCCTGTGTGGGGCTTTGCTTGTTCAAAACGTAACCTCTATACGGCCGTGCACGGGACTCATGCCTGTAATCCCAGCACTTTATGAGGCCCCGGCGGACGGATCACTTTAGGTCAGGAGTTCGAGACCAGCCTGGCCAACAGGGTGAAACCCTGTCTCTACTAAAATTACAAAAATTAGCCTGGCATGGCGGCGCATGCCTGTAGTTACAGTTACTCAGGAGGCTGAGGCAGGAGAATCACTTGAACCCGGGAAGAGGAGGTTGCAGTGAGCCGAGACATGCACCTGCACTCATGTAGGCCAGAGAGCAAGGCTCCGTCTCAAAAAAATAAAGTAACCTGTATGAAGGTTAATTTTGTGGCACTAAACATTAGAGTAGATAATAACCTCATTCCAAATGGGATGTCTCAATCTGTCTGCAAAACTCCATGCCGTGGAGCTCAAAAGTTCACAAATTAGTTCTTTACAGACCTTAAACAAAGAGCATGGAGTCATACAAAAAGGCTTTCTGCCCTGGTAAGGGGAGAAGGCTTGCGGGCAGTCCTTGGGTTCTCAGCTTTCACCAGGGAAGGGGTACCAGACAAGGCTGAGTCTGAACCTGGGGCGCACAACTAAAGAAAAGACGATGTTGATGTTGCGGTGGGGGAGGATCATGCTATTGCCTTTTCGACTGGGTGACAGAGCAAGATGCTTGAACAAGAGTATAACCACTGCTGATTAAACTCAGCAGGGGGGGGGGAGGGGGGAGAAGGGACAAAAATAAAAAACAATGTCGAGGTCATAGACAACCAAGAAAAAGGGCCGCACCGCGGACACTATCGCCTGCCAGACCTCAGCATAAGTTGAATAGAAGAGGAACTGGGGTCTCCAAACAGGACGGGCTGGGGTCCCAGGGCAAAGGGCGGGGCCTCCGGCGGAAGTCGGGGGAAGAGGCGGGGCTGCCGGCGGGGTGCGGAGAGGCGGGGCCACCAGCAAGTGGGCGGGCGGGAGGCGGAGCCGTAGGCGGAGTGTAGAAGAGGTGGGGCTGTCAGCAATTGGGCGAGCATAAGGCGGGGCAGTTGGCGGGTGTGAAAGAGGTGGGGCTGCCAACAAGTGGGAGGGGGAAAGAGGCGGGGCCGCCATAGGGCCCGGCGTAAAAATCACCCATCGTGAGCTCGGTTCCCCGGGTGTTGCGGTTCCGCTCTGGGCTGCGTCCTCCCACGAAGCACTCAGTTTCCCCATCCTTGACACACTGCCTGTTCTTCGCAGCTCACTACAGCGGAGTTATCTGCTGCTGCTGGCAGGGTTTTCATTGCAACAGGTTGTTATGTGCATATCAGGACAAACCTCGTGGGTTGTCCCTGATTCCATTACATTTAATAAACAAGCAGTGTAACCAGAATTACAGTTTGACAGAAAACACGTTTTCTTCTGGACAACACCCTGCGCGTAGGAAGAGCCTTTAGTATGATAGATACATAATATTTAATCGATCCAGAAACACATTTCTTGTGATAGGCTTCTAAATCTCAGAATAAATCCTAAGAGTGAACGGCTGAAGTTACTTATCCAGTGTCACACTGCTAGGCCTATAAATAAACTTGCGGGGTCTATTTTCTCCCATTTGAATATGCTTTGATTTCCATATGACAGTTCTGCCGAAATGTTTTGACGTTTTAGATCTTAACAGAACTCCATTACAGCATGACTATTTATTACATTGATTCTGATCTGATGTGTAATGTCCCCAAACCAAAACTCCATACATTAACATCCTGATAGTTAACACACTTTATCCAACTATTGATTCTATCTCTTCACACCAGTGTGGTAAAAGCTTTCTGTTTTATTTATTCATTTTGAAAATATTTAAGATGTTTCATTTTTATTAGCTAACCTTTTTTTTTTTTTTCTTTTTTTGAGACGGAGTTTCGCTCTTGTTACCCAGGCTGGAGTGCAATGGCACGATCTCGGCTCACCGCAACCTCCGCCTCTTGGGTTCAAGCAATTCTCCTGCCTCAGCCTCCAGAGTACTTGGGACTACAGGCATGCGCCACCATGCCCAGCTAATTTTTTTGTATCTTTAGTAGAGATGGGGTTTCACTATGTTGACCAGTATGGTCTTGATCTCTTGACCTCGTGATCCACCCACCTCGGCCTCCGAAAGTGCTGGGATTATAGGCGTGAACCACCGCACCCGGCCCATTAGCTGACTTTGAAGAGTGCTTCCTTTGTTCCGGTCTCTGTAGATTTAGTCTAATGTCACACACATTCAGAAAAAATGGCAATGTGATTTGCCTTTCTTTGAATTTCTATTCTCCAGGCTGATTATTTGCTGAGGTGAAAATATTTTAACCGGCCTAGATTTTGGTAGGAAAACAAATACTTTAAATTGCATACATTGATTTTGGCTGGGTGGGTTGGCTCACGCCTGTAATCTAAGCACTGTGGGAGACGGAGGTGGGCGGATCACGAGGTCAGGGGTTCATGACCAACCTGGCCAACATGGTGAAACCGTGTCTACTAAAGATACAAAAATTAGCTGGGTGTGGTGGAAGGCACCTGTAGGGCTGAAGGAGAACTGTTTGAACCTGGCAGGTGGAGGCTGCAGTGACCCAAGATTGCACCATTGCACTCCAGCCTGGGTGACAGGGCAAGACTTCATCTAAAAAGTAAATAAATTGCATACAGCTTTCACTGACTAAGGTATGAGAAGATCGAGTTAACATTATTTGCCTAAATCACTCATTTACTCATTTAACAAATAAGTATTGAGACCTGTGATGTGCTAGGCATCCTAATGTGTCAACTATTAGTTAATATTGGGGATAAATAATAGTTTTGAGAATAGAAGTGTAAAAAATAAAACAATTTGCTTGACATGATGTAAGAAGTCTAATCATATGTAGGTTTATGTCTATTCATCTTGGACCTGGAAGAGGGGACATAATTTCTGAGTAGAAAAATGACTGGGTTAATGTCTGATTTTACATGTCCTCTGGCCCAAACCATGATTAGTATAAAAATCCTAGGGTTTCCCCTATGTGGAGGTGGTGAGGAGAGTAATATCTTCCCCTAGACCTCCTCCCCTTATGAACAAATGGAAGAACATTGAGGCTTTAAATGGCCTTCTGAGGTTCAAATGACAGTCTACTTTCACTTCTTTTATTTTGGAGGGGGAAATTTTAAGCTTTCATGCGTGTGGTTTAGACAGCCTTTAAATATTACTTTGTTGAGAGCTTATGACGTGGTGATTGAACAAACAGCACCATAGGTGTTTGCTAGGTAATGCTTTACACATACAGTAGGTCATCACAATTCACTTAATAATTAAAAATATATTGTTACATTATGGTTTATGTGTATGATTTTTTTCCTGAGATGGAGTCTCACTCTGTCATCCAGGCTGGAGTGCAGTGGCAAGATCTCAGCTTACTGCAAACTCCACCTTCCAGGATCAAACGATTCTGCTGCCTTTGCCTCCCAAGTAGTTGGGATTACAGATGCACACCATTGTGCCTAACTAATTTTTGTATTTTTGTATTTTTATTTTTTTTAGTAGAGACTGGGTTTCGCTATGCTGCCTGGTTTGGTCTCGAACTCCTAACCTCAAGTGATCCCCCTGCCTCGGCCTCCCGAAGTGCTGGAATTACAGGTGTGAGCCACTGTTCCCGGCCAGTTAATGTGTACGATATTTTATGACCAAAGGAATTAACACTTTTCTCAGGGTTTGTTTGATACAAAGAATACTGAAGGCACAAGCTGCCTGTGTCTGTTCAACTGAAACCCCTTGCTGACAAGGCTCTAATTCATTTTGTAACACAGCTCATTTTCCAAGGGGGAGTATAGCCTGGGGTATAG